CGGGCTAATGGGAAAAACTGTGAACCATGAGCTCCTCCAAGCTAAGTGGTATCCTACCAGGATGACCAAAGATCACAAATAAACCTGAAGTCAATTAGATATTCAGAATGAGCTGCTGAGAAAAACTTGTTGCTCTGCCACCCTGGAACAGGGTCTGATTGCTCGCCAGTCTCTGAGTGCATATATTCCGCATAACCATGACAATGACAGCATCTCAGCAAGTCACTGACCAAGAACCCACAAAATAGAGGTGTGGTGACGGAATATCTGTACAATTTTCTGAAGTGTTTCAGGCAGACAATGGTTTGAAATTGTTGAACTCAAGAAAAGGCAGTGGATTACCTAATTCTGAGCTTAGACAGTCCAGCCATGAATTTCATCAAGCATTTGGATGCAGCACAATTATGGCTGAGTTATGCCACTGATTCGATTCAGTGGAGAAGTGAGTGGTCCACTGGGCTGAATTTAAAAGCTTGGAAGATTTCTACTGAAGGTTTGGTCAATTACATTGGAAATCTGTGTCTGCATGGTAAAGATTGACCAGCAATGGCTACAGATTGTGAAAACATGCTCATGGATAAATTTGTTGAGGGACTTCCTGGCAAGATAATAAGGCACTGCTTGAGTGTGAGGGATATCCTCATCCTAACTGAGGTACTTTCTATCATGACCAGATATGAAGTGGTAACTTTGAACCAGTTGTTAGACAGGAAGAAACCTACAATACAGCTGCCATGGCTATACCTCATATGTACCATCCTATTCTGACACATACACCACATCAAGTTCAAGCCATACTGATGGTTAACCACCCACCCACCCACATAACCTGGCCTTGCAATACAATTACACTGTTTTCCAGTGGATGGACAAGGTTATCCAGATCTGCCCATGTTTTTATATGCTGCAGCTTATGCCAATGATGCTTCTGCCTGGACATTGTCAGGGATGGGAGGAGAAAAGCATTTGCTTCACTTGTGGTATGTTGTGGCACTGGCAAAAGAACTACCCATACCATTACTGATGAGCAACAGAAGTGGCAAAGCCACTGGTTCTAACAAATGCCTTAACATGTGCTGGAGAACCAATAGTGTCTGTGCTTTACCAAGCAGCAATGTAGGCAAGGCTGTTGGTTTTAGCTAACTAGAGAAGTTCTGGTAAACTAATGGAACCCAAGTCAGGTCTGGCCACTTATTTGGGGAGTGCATCAGCCAGCTTACACTGATAGGTTTGGTGTTAAGCCAGTTCTCTAAGAGCAGTAAAAAACTTGGTACATACTTGAGAGGGTAGGAGACTACATTCTTGATTGACACAAAAGCAGCCTGAACACTGGTGGATCTCACATCATATCAAGCCCACTAAGTGAGACACCACTCTGGCCAGTAGATACCAACTTCATTCTGGCAAATGGTAACAGATTAGACATAAGTGAAAGGGTAGATCACCAGCTGTATATAAGAACTATCACTCACAGAATAAGAGAAGTCATATCTGATCTCAAACCTGGCATTGACATCCTCTGGATGGATATACTGCAGAAATTATACAGCAGTTTCAACTGTGCAATAGGAATACTAATGTTCTGTTGGAGAATTATCTAATGTTGACTAGATCAATCTCTGGAACGATGGAATGCACAAGTGGAGGGGATAACAGTACCTCCACATGCACAATTAGTGATTTGTGGTTTAATATGGATTAAGTTCAGTGCATTGGTACCATGGTTATACAAGTCACACATGAAAGAAGCTGTTTCCTGTCCAAAGAGAGCTTAAGTCCTGGTGTTGTTTTGTACTTATGGGTTAATTGGCTATTCAATGGTACACTAGAATGGTTATAGGTGTGGTAAACAAAATGTAAATAGCCAAGGCTAGCAGATGGTCGAAGGGGTTGAACAACAGTAATGATTGCCACAACACAGAAATTGGCAATGCCCCATTCAATAAAGTAAACACTGTGCCTGCTTTCTAGGATGGAATCATACAACCTTCTGAGAGTTGTGGTATCTCCCAGGTAACCAGCAGATCAGAGAAGTTAAGCTCACTCATAACAGGAGATTCTTGGACCTCTGGCTTTGATATGTACTTTCCCTTGAGTTACAACAGATGGATTGTGAGAAGAGAGATAGGACACAAATTTACAAAAAACAACAAATGATTAATTACAATCACAAACTACACAATGAGCCAGTGGTCCTGTGTGTTTTAAGATAAAAAGTGTAGGACTAGCAGGATTGCCAAGCACAATGCTATAATGGCTATCTGTGCTGTTCACACCATGCATATCAAAACCTGTTTTTAGTACTATAAGCCTTCAGACTTACCACTGAGTCACTTGGGGCAAGAGTTACTTCATACAAACAAAATTATGACTATATAGTTTATCCTTAGTGATAGGAAATAGTCAAATCTATGAAGTTATACATGCACACACACACAGAAGTGCATGTATGGTTAATTTTTCATAGTGAGAAATATTTTTGTATGATGATAGCAAATACCACTGTAACAATAACAGTTATTACAATGGTGCAGTTTTCTTTCATTATCCCTATCATCAAGGTGGAACAGCAAATCTATTTTTTGATAAGTTTTATAGTACTTTAAAGTTTTGAACCTTTCTTGGATGATGATAATGTCCATATATTGTACTGCAGTAAATGTAGCTCATGTTTTTATACATTTTTATGCTAATGTGTACCATTTGTCAGACCTTTCAAGTACAGCTACTGTGTATGAACTACTCTTTATAATATGAGAAGGTTGAATGTAACTTTATACCAGCACAAGGAGAAAATTTGTATGTAATGATTTACTTTAAAGTTATTGATGTATATCTTGTCATTCTTGTCAAAGAAACCAATCATCAAATATTTATGAAAACTGCATCCAGGAGAATACTCAAATACTTCAATATGGTTGTAAGCTATAAAACTAAGATATAGGTGTGAAGCAATGAACCATTGTTTTTTTTAATACAATACTAACAACACACAGTTCAACTTATGTAATATTAATATTGCAATTAGCAATGCATAATGCTAAGTTCAATCTCTAATAAAAGATTACTTACACACAAACATTTGTAATTGTTTTTAAAATGTTGACACTGAGAACCTTCAGTCAAAAAATATGGCAGATCATCATATTTATGTAAATTTCTATATTTCATATGAATTAAGTCTAATATGTTATGTATTCAAGTACTTGTTTTAGTTTCCTGTTGTAATGCTTTTTTTTTACTACTTTTTTAAATCTTCCTGTTATCAGCAGTTGAAAGTTGAAACTACTATTGTCATCTGTATTGTACAGGCTAGGAGAATCATGTTTCATAAAGAAAGAAATTACTGAAAGTTGTTTAAACTTAACATTGAAATAAACACACTTGAATAATTTATCTTTATTTTTTCTGGTAAATCAACAGTTTTTAACCTATATTACAGTGTGCAGTTCTTCAACAGATTTGTTGTTGGTTACATTGTAAGCATTGACCAAAATATTTTTCTGATCTATGTCTGAAATAAACAAGCTATTAAACCAGTCTTGTAAATAAGGTCCTTGTACTGGGCTTCCATTTCTAGCTTTATTTGCTGATGGTATAAGTGTTTAAGTGTTCCCAAGGTTCTGTTACTGGCGTGTGAGGCTTTCGTGGAAGCAAACCTATATTAAAACAGCAAGAAATATTTTTAATAACAGATATTTCTGTTTAAGTGTGTTACATTGCTGAAAAAAAAAAAAAAACACTGAGAAGGAAGAAACATGATTAATTTGTATTACTGCACAAAATATACAAAATGTTTGTTACCAAGCTTGTTAAGAAATCAGTACTTTAATTACATCTTTACAAATGAATCCAAAAATTAGTGTAAGGATTCTGTATTAGCTATTATAAACATTAGTCACATGTACAATTTAGTAATTACTGACAAGTAAAAGCCACAAACATAGAAAAAAAGTGAAACTAGTTAGCTTTCAATACTGTTAATGCATTATATCATTATCAAAGATATTTCTGTTATATGACCAGAAAGTAAATTACAGTTTCATTCTTAAACAGTTAAAGCTAGATTCTTCCATTATAAAAATATAATGATGAAAGTCTGTTCTGATAACAGTTTATAACCTTTATATGACAATTACACAACTATATTCTAAAAAAAGGACTATACTTATGTTGTTCCAGTTGTAACATTAATGAAAGGTAGCTGATGCTCTAATAATAAATGGTTAATTATTAAAATAACTTTAAACCTGAAGGGTGTTAGTAAAGCTTCTTTTGAGAGTTTGATAACTTCATTTCTCAAGAAAATAAGTTTTATTGTACAATAATTATATGAAGCAGATTCTAAAACTAAGCAAATTAATAAAAATTCTAGGTTTCTGCAAAGCTAAATTTATCTTTACATATCATATTAACCAAAGTTACAAAAAGGTAAATTTATGTTGTCATGACTTTTTTTTTACCTTTTAGTAATTATTTTTCCATTCTTAGCTTCAACTATTGATATTACACATTTAAGTTTAGCATAAGATTTGAAAAACTTCTATAAATAGCAAAATAAAACAATTGTTTTGTTGTTCTTCCATATATCCATATATTTTACAAAAAATCCATATTGAAGTTGCAAATTAAATTTACAGGTAGCCACCAACTCTTTTAAAAACTGGAAGAAAGAAAACATCAAAAAATCAGTCTCTTTAACTGCATCAAATGTATTATTGGTGTGAACATGCTTTATATTCACTATGAGAACAACTTGTACACTGGAAAGATGAAGTGAAAAAAGTGTCATTGGCCACTATTCAGTTTTTCACATTATATAACTGCACAATAGCAGATATAATAAATAAACTTAGTATACTAAAAATTGTTTAATTTCGAAGTCTAAGTTCAAAGAAGGTCTAGTTCAATCGACATTTTGATCAACGTGTATTATTGGGTTATACCAGTTTTGGAGAATTCCACTCCTCATCAGTAGCCCTGAACATAAGTTAACCAAAGAGAGATAAGCTGGACCTATGTCATAGTGAAAGTATCAACCATATTGTTGGTGTAAACGTGCTTTATAGTCACTATGAGAAAAACCTATACATTGGATTGGTGAAGTTAAGAAAAAGTGTCATTGACCAATATTCAGTTCTTCACATTTTTTTTTCTATTATATAGCCACACAACAGCAAGTATAATAAATAAACTTAGTAGTACATGGTTACTGGTGAGGAGTGGAATTCTCCAAAACTAGTATAACACATGTTGATCAAAGTGTAGATTGAACTAGACCTACCTTGAACTTGAACATCAAAATTAAACAATTTTTGGAATATTAAGTTTATTTATCATCTTTAACTGTATATTGTTGTTGTTTTTTTAATATTGCAGTATGATACCTACCAGCTAACTGAGCATGATGAACCATAATGGCAACTTGTTTGTACTGCCTGCCACACAAACCTGTTATTTGTTTTGGCAATAAAGTCCCATCAGAGTTGATAAATTGACTTAAGATTAAAACATCCTGTAACAGAAATTGGGTTTTATTAAGTTTTATATTTTATCCCTTATTGTGTTCAGAAGTATAGATCAGATATCTCTTATTGAATATAAAAAAAACAATAATAAATTTTAAAAAGAAATACAAATAAATCTACAATAGTAGCTTGTATTTATTTTGTATTTTGTCTTGAATGCAAATAAGGAACTATTTTGTCCAAATTAACTATCATTATGCAAACATGATCATTTTAGCAGTAATAGGTCCCACATTTACCAGTCTGGGAAAATTTCTTTTTTTAATGCATTGTAAAGTTATAAAATACAATGTTTCATTTATTAATATTTTTAATAAAATATATTTCACAGCAAATCCATTACAGCCATAAATAAACACTGATTTCTGTGATAATTGTGTGGATTATTTTTGCATAAAATGTCTCACTTTTGCCTGTATGGGAAAATATTTCTTTTTAATGCACTAAACAACATAGTTTCATTTTTTTTGCATATCTTTCAAAACCAAATCAGTGCAACTACAGGTTAACACCAATTTCTGTGTTAACTGTGTGGTGTACGTTTGCTAAATTTTTCTTACCGAATGTCTAATATTCTTCAGTCCAAGTCTACAAAGTGGACAGGCACGGGTATTATTCTGTGCTTTGATAACTTTGCCCTCTCTTGGAGAGTTTACTTGGATTCCTTCAACTACTATGGTGTTTTCAGTTTCTGTTTGAATAACTGAAACACAGAATCATATAAATGAACTTTAAACTTACAAAGACTAAATACATGCCATTTTCAGAGTTGCAATAAAAGCTGTAAAAAAAAAAGATTTTGATTAATGATTAATTTATTGTTTTATTTCATTAAGTTTACACAATACTGAATTAGATTTTACTGGTTAACTGGTTTTCTCCAATTGCAAGAGCATTATATTTTTACCAGTTTTTTTTGTAAGGCTTTAAATTACTAAATTTATGTAAGAGAAAGATTTTCTTTTCCATGCAAGTTGATAAAGTTTCAAGATCAAATAGTTATCCCCAAAAAATAACTAACAACTTTTATAAAGTGAAATAGTTCACACAAAATGTTGATCAACAATTTGTTGAACACTATGTTTTCATGTGTCTTTTGTAATCGAAGATTCATCTGCTTCTAAAGTTAAATAGACAGTCTAATAAAAATTATTCAATACATTATGTAACAATAATATATCATCAGTTCAGTAAATACGATGTTATGGTCCAACAAACCACAGGATATGATGTTTATTTACCTCACACAGAATAACAAGAAATATTCAATAGTATTACATACATTATTTATTAACTAACACTGCATATAATGCTGCAGTATCAGATAACACATTGAAATATTAGCTATAAAGCATTATTACATTAACACTAATTCGGGGAATGTTATTTATTTCAAGGCACTGCTAAGTTATACATTTACATTTATAATTTTTTCTCCACGTAAAATATCAAGTACACTTATACAAAACTTCATGTTTATTCCTGTTTCAATTATGTCTTATTGCATATCTGTGGAAGATGTATTATTATTATCATATTCCTGACATGCAAGTATACAGTCATTTTTCATGAAGATACTTTAATTATTTTTATGAAGTAGCTTACTAAAAAAAAAGTGACCAAAGCATCTGTTATGTATTCAGTGACAAAAGTGGTGTTTATAAACTGCCCAAATTGAGATAAGTGCATAGTTTTACATTAAAAAGGTACCTTACATGTTAACAAAACACTAAACTTATAATTACATGTTTGTGGTAGTAGTTTCAGAGTTGTCAAGCCTACTTTTAGATAGTGTGATAACATTAAAACAGTAACTGAATGTGCTACTAATAGTTTTATTTTTTATTTATGCATGCTCTGCTTATTAAAAACTACTAGCTCAATTACTGCATTTTACAAAACCAAATTCACAGAAACTTTACACACATAAAAAAAGTTTTTAAACCCATCACAGCTTATTACAAAACAAATAGTTTAAAAATCTGAGAATAACCTATCTATTTTGCTTTTCCTTTACTAAATAATAGAAATCCTTAAATCCCAGCATTCCTCAATAATACAACTAATACATGAGTTATATGGAAAGCATAGGATACTTTTATGCAACAAAAAAATCTGTACTATAGTATATTAAAAATACTACAAAATGAAATACAAGATCCTGATATGCACATGTGGTATTCAATTCTTGTACATTTAAAAGATCCCCACTGAGGGAAAATTATGATTATCGTGTACATTTGTACATCTTGTACGTTTATAAGATCCCCACTGAAGGAAAATTATGATGATCGTGTAAGATGTTTAATAATCAGTTATTAGGATATTGTTAACACAAAGAAATAACTACTTATGTATATTTTAAGCTTGTAAAATAATAGGAAGAATATTATTTGTTCAAAATTTCATCATTGTTATCAGAATGACCACAAACCTGGAAAACTGAAAAATTATTCAAAATCTTAAAAAAAAAAAAACAGGGGAAACTGTGCCCCCTCCCCCTATCTCAAAACCATGGAGCTCAGCTATGCCAGCTAAAAGTATATTTAATTATTTTTTTTTACTTTTCCTCAGGGGTGGGTTTACAAGGACAGCCTTTTTAGGTCAAATAGTCATTTGTTATCCATATGTTATACTAGCTGGAGTCCCCGTCTGTTGGACAGGTGAAATAAAAACTTGTTTGTAACAAAGGATAGGAAATTTTGCTTCTATTCTTTTTCTTTTAAATAATAGACATTAAAAGTGCAATAAAAATAAATAAAGGCACCAACACTAAAAAGAAAGACATACTGTTTTCAAGGATTCTATCAACATGAAATTAGATAGGGAGGTCCTGTATCACTGTGTCAAGTTTGGTGCTGATTGATCAATAAATGTGGAAACGTATAAGGAACAGATATACACATACTGACATTTATTTATATAGATATCATCAAAGAAGAGCTGACACCAAGAGGAATGTCTTTGTTGTTCAGACTTTCAAAAAATTTTGCTTTTAGTTGGTAATTTGCTCAGATTAAAAGTTAATATTAACTTATTTTGTGAATTTTACCAATATCATAACAATCCAATTGCCAATTTATCTTTTGTGTGGTACCTACCAAGTGCTTTCTGAAAGTTGAAATATGCACTACTAAGTTTCATGCACAAACAGCTTACACCATTAGTTATACTTAGAGTATTCTTGCTATACTGTTTTTACTTATTTCATTTATAACATCGATATTTATATTGCGACAATCAAGAATCAAAATATTCCATTCATGAGTAGAAATGGTTTATATTATATTAATTAGTATAGTGCAAAACTCAAGCATTACATGATTAGATCAATTTTATTATTTCAAGTTTAATAAGTAACAAAAACTGACATCAAAAGCAGATCCAAAGTTCAAATTTACCTTATGATTTAGGTCTTAAGTTGTTTACATCTCCTAAAACCTGCCAAAGTAAGTGCTTTAGGCCAAGTAAAAAAAAATAAGTTTAACTTCTGGTGTTTTCAAAAAAGGAAGGAGGTGGTCTTTTTATTTAATGACCTATTTGAAAGAAAGTTTGACCCTATTTTTCTTGATTGTTGCTTATTTTCAAAGGCTCCATATCAAACACAAGTCTTCTTTGTTTCATTTTTTATCAAAACCATACAAATTTATGACAAATAAAGAAAAATGGGCAAAATGATAAAGATTTTTTTTATAAATTAAGCACAAAGCTACACAATGGGCTATCTGTGCTCTGCCCATCATGGGTATCGATACCCGGTTTCTAGCATTGTAAGTCAGCAGACATACCACTGTGCCAAGGGGGTAGAGGGGGCAAAATAAATCAACTGTGTTCATCTCATTTCTTATTCAGAAGTTTTCTTTGTTTCTTTGTATAATCGAAAAACGATAACTCAAAAAAGGAAAAAAAATCGCCATAAAAAAGTTGGAGGAGGCAGCTGCAAAATAGGTAGTGGAAGGGGACGCTAAACATGTATTTTTATTTTACTTGGCTTTATCAAGAAATGGGAATATTGATCAACCTTAAATCTTTTACCCAAGGAAATGGTTTTGAAAAAGTAAAAAATCAAATAAACTTACTGACATGTACTTTTGAAGTACTGTATTATGTAACCTAAACTATTTAAAACTCAAACGATTAGGCCACACAACTGAACAATAGGACATTGACAGTTACTGAGTTAAAGTTAAACTTAATCAAGTTAATGTCAGTTATTGTTAATTTATACTTAAGAGTTTGTGTCTGATCGAAACTACAGAACTCAGAAGTTAATAATATTAATGTATCTCTTTTAGTGTTAAACAGTACGTTAGAAAATAAACTTCCACTTACTTTTTTTTAAATAATTTTGTTTTCCTATTGATAACGCTACTGACTGGAATGGAAAAGGTTTTAATGATATATAACTTTTACTAATAATACATCGGTTCAGAGTTTTATAACCATACATCAACGCCATATTGTTTAAGACACCTAGCGGAATAATTCACTATCAAATAATATATTACCGGGAGAAACGAATACATATCGCTAAGAACGCAGCATAGTTAGTTTGTTTGATTTGCAACAAAGCCACGTTAGGCTATCTGCTGTGTCTACAGCGGGGAATCAAACCCTGGATTTTAGCGTTGTAAGGCCATAAACTTCCCGCTGTTCCATCAGAGGACACGCAGCTTGGAGTGGAACGTAAGATTCTGCCAAGATTCATCATAATGCTACATTATGAATAGTAGTTACGGTTGGAAACAAAAACAATCCAAGATGTGACGTTTGTAATGCTTAATCTAAGACCAAAACACACACATACAAATGTTTCCAGTAACCCTACCTTGCCTACTATTTTAAATGTAGAATGATAATAATGATAAATAAAGTCTTATCTACTCTATTTTGGAACTAAAAACTGTAGGATTTTTTTTTGTACCTGTTGAGCTTTAAAAGCTAATGAACCTAATTCTGATAGAAAGAATCGAAACAAGAGACCTTTTTATGTTATCAGTGAAATGATTTAATAATTTTGTTTAAAAATTAGAACCAACCAGAACCCATTTATTTAACCTGAACGCAGATCTCAAATTTTGTTTGTTGGAATTTATACGTGCTTACATTACGTTCATAACAAATAACAAGTTTGTCAAGCGAGATTCTATTCCGAGTTAGGCTTACCGGTAGTCGTCACCACTGATTCCACACTCGTAACTCCGAACTGACTTTCTAATATATTTGCACAATCAGTTTTCCCGGACTTGTCATATAACTAGATCGAAGCACCCCCCAACCTCTGAAGTTTGAGTTCGCATCTGAATACATATTTATGTAATTTTTATACATTACATTTAAAAATCTTCTTGAGCTTTCGTTGGAACCCTGAGAGTCGTCTATTATTGTACGAGGTGCACAAAATGCACCAACATTCACGATAATGAAGTTATTAGCTCTTTTGTTGAACAAAGTTAACTTTGAGATGTCTCTACTACCGACGTGAATAGGTTTAACAACTCTTTATTAAACGAGGTATAGGTTGTTACTTCCAAAAACAGAATTTATTAATAAAAATGTAAAACAACCATCATGTTTCGGCCAATAGGTGACAACCCCATTTCGCACCCAGAAATAGCATGAGGATCAACACACAACTCAACATGACTGACACTGATCTTAACATAAACAAATACAGTATACTAGTGCCCAAAAAAGTACAATATATTGTTACGACAGCGGAAGTCACGTGACCCTGGCAAGACGTCATGAGATTTTAGAAGGATCATGAAGGCCAGAGCGTTTTCTAGGTGCCCTCTATTTTAATAAATAAGCTCGGCAAATAAAGCGGAGGGGAGAAGTGACGATATAGATAACTGCAGATGGGGACCTATAGAGACAGATAATCGAGTCAAGTGAGCGGTTGTGACCGTTAGTAAAGTGCGTGAAGCGTT